ATAGAGAGTTAGAAACATCGATGAGAGAGAAACATTGATCAGCTGACTCCTGCACACTCCCCACTGGGGATGTGCCCGCAACCAAGGTACATGCCCTTGACCGGAATCGAACCTGGGACCATTCAGTCCACAGGCCGACGCTCTATCCACTGAGCCAAACCGGTTACGGCGCTCCAGGAGTTTTTATTGAACATTCTCAGGGGCTGTCCAAACCGTCCACAGCCTAGAGGCCTGACACCGCTGCCCGCCCTGGGCTCTCTCCTTTAGCCCATGGTCAGCACCCTGGGGAAGGTCCGGCCTGGAGTGCCTGCCGAGGGGTGTGGAGTGTGTGTGTTTTGGGAGAGGGCGGCATGAAAGGACCCAGGCTGGGAAGGGTGGTGGCGTGGGCAGGGTCCCGGGCTAGGGCCTGGCTGGGGCCGAGGCCGGGCCTCGCTGCTTGGTCACGGCACTCAGGAGCTGCTGCACGTACGAGGTCAGCAGGTCGTCCATCTTGTAGCCCTGGCAGAGGAAGGGGGCAGAGGCTGTGGGTCCAGGGAGGGGCTTGACCAGGCCTGGCAGTGCTCAGCTCCTGCCTCAGGGATGCCCTGAGCCGGGAGGTGAGGATGGAGAGGCCCAGAGCCACAGCCCCGCCCGGCCTGCCCCAGCTCCAGGCACTTCTCCTCGCGCTTCCAGGCCTCCCTCCTGGCCGTGCCCACAGTGGTCGGCCTCCATAGTGAGTAACGCCTGAGGAGTGGGGGAGGGGACCCGGTCCCGGTGCCTCTGGGTCCTGTGTTGGGGCTGGAGAAGGGCCCGGTCCCAGGAGGCCCCAGGCCTGGCTCACCAGCGAGGTCTCACACAGCAGGCGGCTGCCCCGGCCCAGGCTCCCCAGCACCATGTGGAAGTAGGTGCTGCCGCTGCTCCAGCTGGCGATCTTGGTGAACGGGTAGGTGGTGAGCAGCTCCTGGGTGAGAGCGGGTGTTGGCAAAGGTCAGCTGAAGCCTAGGTCCCAGTCAGAGCTGCTGCCCTGGGTCCTCCGGAGTCCCTGGTGCCAGGGGGCGGGCGGAGGGGGGTGGCCACAGCCCACCGGTCCCGGGCCTCT